TCCACTGATATAAGTTACTCTGCAAGGCTCAGGCTGGCCCCATGCAAGTTGTGTATGTGGGAGGACAGTGCTTTTAAAATCAGAATTGACATAGAGAATAGCAACTTCCAGGGTGCCTTGCTAGAGCCCAGTACCTCCAGATAGGGCCACAGTGCCATGAATCGGTACACCAAATGTCCCTAGAAGGGCATCCTCTTTTCTTCCAACTATTCTAGAGTTGGCTACCTAGTGGTAAATTCTGTAAGGCTGACATAAGTGATTAGTACCTAAACAAGACAACTTAGAATATCTAGTCCTTTTGATCTTCTCACTGTTCTTAAGCCTGAGCTTATCTTTTATTATCTCTCCCTTTTTAAAAGATGAGAAGGCTGAGTAAATGACCTCAGGGTTGAAATCCTTGGTTAGCTATGGCTTCTTTACTGGGCAGCCATGTGGCTGAGCTGGGACTCAAGATCTCCTGGTCTCTTGGCTATTGAGCAGAGGAAGGTTCAGTCCAACTCCCTTGATGGGAACAAGGAATAAGACCAAAGCATACAGAAGTAAATGTTGTACACTGCACAACTTGCACAACGATAAGTAGTGGCCCTGAGTAAGGGACTCCACTCTAACAATAAACAGTCCTGTTATTTATTAATCATGTTCCATATACCCACATCATTGCTAGATCCTTTTTGTATAGTTAATCCTCACAGTAGCTGTATAAGACAGATATTTTACTGAAACGGGTAAATTAAATACTTTTGCTCAAGACTGTACAGCTTTTGGATGAAGGAGCCAGATTTTAAAATTTTACTGGAATTTACAAGTCTTTCTGACACTGTGTTCTTTCCGCTGTGCTCTATTGATTTTCCTGTGCCCTGGCCAGAGAAAAGGAATAAGTGGTAAATTTGATGACTGTCATGGAGCAGGGTTATTCTCACCACAGCTGCAGGACGTTGGCCCAACTGAGGCCTTTGGAGATGTTGCTATCACTGACTGCATTTCATGAGATTAAGATTGGAGATGAAGAATGGGGAAGGGGGAAAGAGACAGAGATAGAAGCTAGGAATGTGTGAGGTGATGGGTGGAAGAGAAGGTGTATAGACTGGAAAGCAAGCTAACTGGAACCAATAATTGCCCCCAAACCACAACACTCACATCATTTTCAGCCTGGCCCTTTGTTTCGATAGTGTATGGTTCCTGAACCACTTGTATTAGAATCCCTTGGGACAATTGCTAAAAATGCAGATTCCTGGACTCCACCAAAGAGGTACTAAATCCCAATTTCTGGGGGTGAGCCCCATGAATTTGTATTTTAAACAACCTCTCCAGGTAATTGCAATTAGGAGCCACTTTGATTAAGAACGACTGTCTCAGACCAGTGGTTTCCAATTTTTTGGATCATGTACCCCTCTCAGAAAGAATTTTTTAAGTTTATACCTTCAATATATGCTGGTAGTTTATTAATAAATTCCTTATATGTACTAATGTCCTAATATTTATGTTTTTAAATGCAAAAAAATGAGTGTTTTTTGCACTACTATTCTTAGATGAGAATGGTCTCTAGTTTTCCTTTATGCATCTTCTCGTTAAATTTTGGTTACTGATGTTGTGCAGAATTCTTTTCTTCTCCCTCTATTCTCTAGATTTCAGAGTCTAGAAAGCGTAAATAGCATTTGAGCTGTCTGTTCCTTGAAGGTTAGAATTAACACAAGACCATGTGAGTGTGCTTTTTACTTTGGTCAAATTCATCAATATACTTTTCTGTGGTAACTAGTGGGTTTAGATAGCCTCTTCTAATTTTGTGCATTTAGGATTTTTTTTTTATTAGATTAGCAAGTGGTTTATCTGTCTTACTGCTTTATATTTTCTTTTGAAGAACCAGCTTTTAGCTTTAATTATTAGTTCTATCATTTGTTTTCTAGTGTATTGATTTGTACCATTAGTTTTCTTTCTGCTTTGCTTAGGTCTATTTTTGTGGCTCTTTTCTTTGGAGCTCAATTTTTTTTTGTTGAATACGTAATTCAATTTGTTCTTATATATTAATATATTTTAGACTACAATTTTTCCTTCTACTCTGCTTTAATCAACCACATCCTTTAGCTTTTGATATATTAATTGTTATTTTCTATGTATTCTACAATTCCAAATTAGATCTCCTCTTTAGCATAAAGGGTATTTTTTCCCTTTTATTTTCTATATGCTAGAAGTTTTTGGGTTTTTTTTAATATTAATTTTAAGTGTTGTATTATTAGATAGTGTACTCTATACCACTTCCACTTTTTGGCTTAATATATAGTCAATGTAAAAAACACTCAATGGGCCCTTAAAAAGAAAGTACAGTCTGTTTTCAGTGTATGAATAAATTTAGATTTTTCCATTATCTTAGTTTTTGACTATCAAATCTGTCATCAGCTGAAACAGTCTCATATTTTGTTTCTGCTTTTTTCTACCTTTGCATTTCTTATATTTTGCTTTAGAAATTTTAAAATTAATTTAATTTTTTTTCAATTACAGTTGACATTCAATATTATTTTATATTAGCTTCAGGTGTACAGCATAGTGATTAGACATTTATATAATTTATTAAGTAATACCCTTGATTAGTCTAGTACCTATGTGGTGCTATGCATGGTTATTAGAATATTTTGACTATATACCCTATGCTGTACTTTACATCCCTCTGACTTGCTTTAGAAGTTTCAATGCTGTTATTTGGTACACAAAGATTCAGAATAATTAGATATTCACCATATGTTCTAATCATTAATATTATAGTGCCCTTCTTTGTCTTGCTTATTGCTTTTTGCCTTTAATTCAACTTTTTATTTATATGAGTATCATGGCCCTTGTTTTTTTCTCCATTTGTTATTAATTCATTTATAAAAAAAATATTTATTGAATGCCTACTATGTGTCAGGTACTAGGTACTAGAGGAATGAGACATACAAGATCCCTGACATTGTGGAGCTTACATTTTAGTTAGAGAGTAGAAAACCAAATAAAGAAGTAAAAATAGGTATGTGATATAGTATCAGATGGTGATGTATCCTCTGAGAAAGAACAAAATAGAAAAAAAGATAATTAAGGATAAGTCATTTCTATTTTAGATAAGATGGTCAGGAAAGGCCTCTGCTTGATAGCATTTGTCATCCTTTTACTTTCCATTTACCACTTTATTTGTTTGTGTGTTTGTTTCCTTGAGGGTGGAGGGGAAATGCCAGTTGGAACAGATTGCACACAAAGGAATGTGACAATCTAAATGAGCTCTAGATGGGCTAAGCCCTAAATGAGAAGAGAGTAGGGATATGTGGATATGAATTTTCAGTACATGTCAGTGATGAACTAGCTAGGATGGGGACTTGAGATGAGTGGAGTGATGGATATTTTGCTTTCCATTCTATCTGAGCTTGGGTACCATTATGTGTGTTATTATTTAAAGAAATATTCTTGGTTTTCATCATGACTATTGAATGGATATTCTGTCTGATGATTTAATTGAACTGCTGGAATTTCCTGTCACTAGGCAGTACTTAGAATGAGGCTGATTGCTCACAGGCTACAGCAGGAAACCAAATCCTTTGGCTTAACAGGCTTAACCCTTTATATTATAAGGCTAAAGAAATGTCCTCTGACTTTGATGGCTCTTTATTATACAGAAGTTTGATTTTTTTATACACATTTTTATACATAGTTAAATAAACCTGGAC